CCCACATAAGATGATCGATCCTTTAAGTTATTGTGAGAAATACCCAACATAAGATGATCGATCCTTTAAAGTTATTATGAGAAATGCCCCACATAAGATGATCGATCCTTTAAAGTTATTATGAGAAATGTCCAACATAAGATTATCGATCCTTTAAAGTTATTATAAGAAATGTCCCACATAAGATGATCGATCCTTTAAAGTTATTATGAGAAATGTCCCACATAAGATGATCGATCCTTTAAAGTTATTATGAGAAATGTCCAACATAAGATGATCGATCCTTTAAAGTTATTATAAGAAATGTCCCACATAAGATGATCGATCCTTTAAAGTTATTATGAGAAATGTCCCACATAAGATGATCGATCCTTTAAAGTTATTATGAGAAATGTCCAACATAAGATTATCGATCCTTTAAAGTTATTATAAGAAATGTCCCACATAAGATGATCGATCCTTTAAAGTTATTATGAGAAATGTCCCACATAAGATGATCGATCCTTTAAAGTTATTATGAGAAATGTCCAACATAAGATGATCGATCCTTTAAAGTTATTATAAGAAATGTCCCACATAAGATGATCGATCCTTTAAAGTTATTATGAGAAATGTCCCACATAAGATGATCGATCCTTTAAAGTTATTATGAGAAATGTCCAACATAAGATTATCGATCCTTTAAAGTTATTATAAGAAATGTCCCACATAAGATGATCGATCCTTTAAAGTTATTATGAGAAATGTCCCACATAAGACGATCAATCCTTTAAAGTTATTATGAGAAATGCGCCATATAAGATGATCGATCCTTTGAGGTCATTATGAGAAATGTCCCACATAAGATGATCGATCCTTAAAAGTTATTATGAGAAATGCGCCACATAAGATGATCGATCCTTTAAAGTTATTATGAGAAATGTCCCACATAAGATGATCGATCCTTTAAAGTTATTATGAGAAATGTCCCACATAAGATGATCGATCCTTTAAAGTTATTATGAGAAATGCGCCACATAAGATGATCGATCGTTAAAGGTTATTATGAGAAATGTCCCACATAAGATGATCAGTCTTTTACAGGTAGAAGACCATGCAGTTGCTTTAAGCTAAGTACAATTACGTCTACGTACACATAGCAGAAGCATACTTAAAGGGGATAATAATAGAAATAAGACTGCCGGCGACATTTGTATGAAGTCGTCTTGTTTGCCCGGGTAGTCTGTGCACTGTACCATTCAGACCGTAACGGCTGTATGCATGTATTCAGGCTGGGTCATGTTGCACCATTTAAGAAAAAAATGTTTTTTTCCTTTCTTTGTTATTTAACGCCGCCTTTAGTAATGCTCTATCAATATGACCCGGAGACGGATATTTTGAGCAACGACCTGAGCCGTCGGGGTACGATGACACGCTTGAACAAAGTCATCAAGTCTGATCACCCGATCCATTAAGTTACCTCGTACGACCAGGGGGCCTTTTCCAACCCGGATTCTCCACGGGACCGGCTGGTGTTGGTGTTTCAAGTGAGTGACAATATGCAAGGCCATTAGCAATATTCAAGCAGTCATGGATGGGGAAAGTCGTTTTGCCAAGGTAGTTTCTAGGCAGGCATTTCGGCGGAATGAGCTGAGGCTTCTGCCCCAAAAATAAATAGACACTTTTAACATTCAATGACAATCAATGTGTGACCTCGAAAATGACGCGATAGTCGGGCTAATGATTATTTGTACAATATTTTGTATCACCGGGGTCGTTATATAAATAAATATCATTGGAGCGTCAAGGCCGAGCCAGAAAATTGATTCGCCCCAAGTTGAGATAATGTAAACCTTCACGGGGCCCTGTTAAGCAAGTCGATGCTGGTTTTGTGACAAGTCACGCTTCATGTCGCAGTCTTATTTTGACATTCTGCGTACCACACGCCTTCACATCTGCCGCGTTAAGCGTAACGTGTTCACATTTAAACTGGCGTTTCGTGTTGTGATGCATCTTCCTGTATTCAGGGGGAAATAGGGGGCACGGTAGATCAAGTCGTGTAAGGCGTTTTGGAGAGTTATACCCCTTTGTAGTATCAGGATCCGCTGATCATGAGTTCGAGTCCAAGGGTGATGATGATCCTTGGTTTGTCAGTACCATCTTGGGTTTCGCCAAAGTTCTTTAAACGTCTGAAGCCTGCATCACTTTCTTTTGGCCTTCCTCCCGCCTTAAACTGAGATTTGCTGAAAAGCGGCCCCTCCCTCCCTCCCTCCCTCACTCCCTCACTCACTCACTCACTCACTCACTCACTCACTCACTCACTCACACACCATCCATGGTAATTTCTTTCGTGAATTTTTATTTTGCAGTGTTTCCGAGAAGAATTAAATAGAATAGAGAAATACTAAGCCCTAATACTGACACCATTATTAGTACATTAATTATTAAAGTTACTAAACGTGTGTTATTTCACAGTCCACAGAGAAACTGATTTCAGCAACTTTAAATATGTTTTGTTTGTTTGTTGTTTAACGCGGCACTCAGCAATATTCCAGCTATATGACGGCGGTCTGTAAATAATCGTGTCTGGTCCAGCCAATCTAGTGACTGACATCATGAGCATCGATCCACATGGGACACGGTGACATGTATCAACCAAGTCAGCGAGCCTGACCACCCGATCCCGTTAGTCGCCTCTTATGACAGGCATAGTCGCCTTTTACGGCAAGCATGGGTTGCTGAAGACCTATTCTACCCTGGATGTTCACGGGTCTACTGTTTAACATTCCCAATCACAGAGTATGTTCTGAATGTCTACCTGCTGACATATTATGTTACCGAGCATAACCTTTCCATTACGTCGCCTCGTACGACAAACATAGGGGTCTGGGGACCAGTTGTAACAAGGGTGCACCAAGGGGCATTTATGCATGTATCAGTGTTAGTGGTAGGGGGTCCGGTAACGTCATACCGAAAGACGTTAAAAGATGGTACTTGTTATATCCCTGCCTGGCGCTCGGCTTTAAGGGGCTAAAACAAGGACTGGTCGGCTCGGAGTCACTATACTGTGTCTGAGTGGGGTATTCATGTCAAACTGTGGCATGGTATCTCAGTGGGCTAGGACTATAAAATCGGCATTAGTCCGGACTAGTACAAGCAGACACGCAGACACACACACAGGCAGACACGCACACACGCACACGCACACACACACACACCATGCACGTCACTATATAAGTGCAATACTCTTGAACACGACGTTAAACCCCATTTTACCTCACCTCACCTCATACTGATTCAGTTATGTTTATTTGTTATTGTTTTATTATGTGACAGTAAATATTGTTGTGAGTTTGTGAGAAAAAGATGCAGTTTTGGATAGCGTTGATATTAACACAGGTGCTCGTTAGCATCAGGCGCGACGGTAACTGTACGACCGTGTGGAGACTGGTATCTCAGACTTTTAGAAATAAGTCAAAAAGAGTTTAAGTGTAGGTCACAAACAATACTAATTGTGATCATGATCAGTCCAATAAAAGAAAAAAGGAATCTTAAACGTGTTTTAACTGTACTGATATAGCCCTTACAATCAGAATGGGAAATGTCCCGTATAAGATGACCGATCCTTTAAAGTAATTATGAGAAATGTCCCACATAAGATGATCGATCCTTTAAGTTATTGTGAGAAATACCCAACATGAGATGATCGATCCTTTAAAGTTATTATGAGAAATGCCCCACATAAGATGATCGATCCTTTAAAGTTATGAGAAATGTCCCACATAAGATTATCGATCCTTTAAAGTTATTATAAGAAATGTCCCACATAAGATGATCGATCCTTTAAAGTTATTATGAGAAATGTCCCACATAAGATGATCGATCCTTTAAAGTTATTATGAGAAATGCGCCACATAAGATGATCGATCCTTTAAAGTTATTATGAGAAATGTCCCACATAAGACGATCAATCCTTTAAAGTTATTTTGAGAAATGCGCCATATAAGTTGATCGATCCTTTGAAGTCATTATGAGAAATGTCCCACATAAGATGATCGATCCTTTAAAGTTATTATGAGAAATGTCCCACATAAGATGATCGATCCTTTAAAGTTATTATGAGAAATGTCCCACATAAGATGATCGATCCTTGGAAGTTATTATGAGAAATGCGCCATATAAGATGATCGATCCTTTGAGGTCATTATGAGAAATGTCCCACATAAGATGATCGATCCTTAAAAGTTATTGTGAGAAATGTCCCACATAAGATGATCGATCCTTTAAAGTTATTATGAGAAATGTCCCACATAAGATGATCGATCCTTTAAAGTTATTGTGAGAAATGTCCCACATAAGATGATCGATCCTTTAAAGTTATTATGAGAAATGTCCCACATAAGATGATCGATCCTTTAAAGTTATTATGAGAAATGCGCCACATAAGATGATCGATCCTTTAAAGTTATTATGAGAAATGTCCCACATAAGACGATCAATCCTTTAAAGTTATTATGAGAAATGCGCCATATAAGTTGATCGATCCTTTGAAGTCATTATGAGAAATGTCCCACATAAGATGATCGATCCTTTAAAGTTATTATGAGAAATGTCCCACATAAGATGATCGATCCTTTAAAGTTATTATGAGAAATGCGCCACATAAGACGATCGATCCTTTAAAGTTATTGTGAGAAATGCGCCACATAAGATGATCGATCCTTTAAAGTTATTGTGAGAAATGCGCCACATAAGATGATCGATCCTTAAAGGTTATTATGAGAAATGTCCCACATAAGATGATCAGTCTTTTACAGACTTAAAGGGGATAATAATAGAAATAAGACTGCCAGCGACATTTGTATGAAGTCGTCTTGTTTGCCCGGGTAGACGCGCACTGTGCCATTCAGACCGTAACGGCTGTATGCATGTATTCAGGCTGGGTCATGTTGCACCATTTAAGAAAAAATGTTTTTTTCCTTTCTTTGTTATTTAACGCCGCCTTTAGTAATGCTCTATCAATATGACCCGGAGACGGATATTTTGAGCAACGACCTGAGCCGTCGGGGTACGATGACACGCTTGAACAAAGTCATCAAGTCTGATCACCCGATCCATTAAGTTACCTCGTACGACCAGGGGGCCTTTTCCAACCCGGATTCTCCACGGGACCGGCTGGTGTTGGTGTTTCAAGTGAGTGACAATATGCAAGGCCATTAGCAATATTCAAGCAGTCATGGATGGGGAAAGTCGTTTTGCCAAGGTAGTTTCTAGGCAGGCATTTCGGCGGAATGAGCTGAGGCTTCTGCCCCAAAAATAAATAGACACTTTTAACATTCAATGACAATCAATGTGTGACCTCGAAAATGACGCGATAGTCGGGCTAATGATTATTTGTACAATATTTTGTATCACCGGGGTCGTTATATAAATAAATATCATTGGAGCGTCAAGGCCGAGCCAGAAAATTGATTCGCCCCAAGTTGAGATAATGTAAACCTTCACGGGGCCCTGTTAAGCAAGTCGATGCTGGTTTTGTGACAAGTCACGCTTCATGTCGCAGTCTTATTTTGACATTCTGCGTACCACACGCCTTCACATCTGCCGCGTTAAGCGTAACGTGTTCACATTTAAACTGGCGTTTCGTGTTGTGATGCATCTTCCTGTATTCAGGGGGAAATAGGGGGCACGGTAGATCAAGTCGTGTAAGGCGTTTTGGAGAGTTATACCCCTTTGTAGTATCAGGATCCGCTGATCATGAGTTCGAGTCCAAGGGTGATGATGATCCTTGGTTTGTCAGTACCATCTTGGGTTTCGCCAAAGTTCTTTAAACGTCTGAAGCCTGCATCACTTTCTTTTGGCCTTCCTCCCGCCTTAAACTGAGATTTGCTGAAAAGCGGCCCCTCCCTCCCTCCCTCCCTCCCTCACTCACTCACTCACTCACTCACTCACTCAAACGGTTATAATGTGTGCCGACCTGAGCAGTGTTTTCCGTCTTGCAAGTCAGTAGTATATACAACTAAGAAAAAGTTAGAGAACACCCAATTATTTCCTATGGCTATAGTTGTCTGTCATGGCTGGTAGGTATTGCAATGCACAGACTTCCAATTGAGGGTTTTCTTTGACTTGTATTCTGTTGTTTATAATTATATGCGTGGAGTCAGTCGGTCAATCGTTACCTTAAGCATTGTAAAAGCGAGTTGAATGTCTCGCCGCTTTTAGCAATATTCCACCCATGACAGGGAATCTTCTACCCACGTGGTTATTCAAACTCGAGTCATCAGTCTGACGAGCGCACATTGGGCTATGCCACCGCTCCATATTCAAACACCTGTGTCATTCAGTCGAAAAAAGAAGTATTAGCATTAACACACGATAACAACATGACTCACAAGGGAAATAGCGAGATCAAATATGTTTATGAATCAAATTCCCCGAGGCATTAGGTGACGGAAAGGCCCACAACGTGCATCAGATAGAACTACGGTTTATTGGTAACATAGTTGAATTAATATTGAAAATATGGGAGTGGGAGGGGCGGCCGGGTAGCCTAGTGGTTAAAGCGTTCGCTCGTCACGCTGAAGACCCGACATGCATATGGGTACAATGTGTGAAGCCCATTTCAGGTGTCCCCCCCCCCCCCCCCCCCCCCCCCCCCGTGATACTGCTGGAATATTTGCTCAAAGCGACGTAAAACCGTACTCACTCACTCCAAAAGTGGAGGATCCGCTTCTGGATCCGCCTATGCTTAGTACAGGCACAATTTTGATATGACATGTTTCTATTGTTTCAGTCCCTGTGATTGGCCCAGATCGACCGCCACTCACAACATGGAGGGCTCCACGTGCCTCGCGCGCTCCACCAGGCGTGTAATGTCAACATAAACAGAGCCACTTCAAATCAGACGCAGCATGTCGCGGATGAGGAGGTTCATCCTGTTGTTTCTCCTCGCCTACACCTCGACGTCTATTTTATTCTTGTCTCTGGTTGCAGAAAACAACTACTTTGGAAAGTACGGTTGGAGCAATGTGAAAGAGGCCCCCTCAATTTCCTCAGGGGTCTGGAGACTTCGTGACAACCCCGGGAGCCGGAGTATATCGAAATTTGGAAGTCAATGGCGTAGGGTTAATATATCTTACCCGGTAATGGATTCCTGCAGCGACGATGTTAAATATAACTCACGATTGGAGGATGTGTATGTGTTGTTGACGAAGAGCATAACGTTATACTCCGCCTATTATGACGCTAGGGAAGATATACCTGTCATTAGAATCATATCGACTGTAAAACCCGAGAAGAAGGAAGTGCGGTTGTGGTGTCACTTTGACTCAGAAAGAGGCTCAGGAGCTTCGAATACTTCTTGCGTGACGCCAGTCTCGTATTACCAAATGTGTGAAAATCATAAACGGGAGATAGGCGGTTGGATATTATCATGTCAAGTGCCAAAGTGTTATGTGGACAAGGGGAGACAACCCTGTGTTGTCAGCGTCTCTCTGTCACCGAAAGAGTCTTCAACAAACAGCGTTGAGATGTCAATATTGACAACCGAAAGATCACCGCAGGAAACTCAGGTTGATTTTGCTGTGTGTGTACCGCCCCTATTTGGTAAAATACGCAAGGATCAGATTGTTCAATTTGTAGAACTTACGCGAATGCTTGGAGCAAACCATTTTATGTTTTACGTGCATGACGTTAAGCCGAACGTCAAGGAGGTTTTGAAACATTACGAATCACTAGGAATTGCAACCATCCGCAAGTGGGCCGTGCCATCGAAGAGCCCAAGGTCCATATGGTATCATGGTCAATCTTTGGCCATTAACGATTGCCTATACAGACACATGGCCAACGTCCAGTATTTGGTATTCAACGATGTGGACGAATTTCTCATACCGCACGGGCCGGACATGCGGACTTGGCGGGACATCGTGACGTCACAACATAGCTTTACCAACACGTGCGCGATGACCTTTAAGAGCGCTTTCTTTGACCTAGCTTTCAGAAACAACCAGGACTTCGTTGTCAGAAATGTAAGTGTTCTAGACATAACAACACGGGCGGAGTCTTACTGTGAATTTCGGAATAAGGTCATGGTCGTGCCGTACAAGGTTTTCGAGATGGGGATACACCACGTGAGTCGACCTTGGCCCGACGTTGCCAACTACAGCGTTGTCGATGTGTCGCCCCAGACGGCATACATTCATCATTACCGCCCCTGTAAGAGCTTCTCATGGATCTGTATTCATGGACAAATTGACACGACTCTTGTGGACAAATATGGAGAGGAATTTTTTATCAATTATAATCGCACAATGAACATTATTCCGGATTAATTCCCATCAGTAGTGACGTCATTCGTCACATGTTGCAAAATTGTGGATTTTCATATGACGTCATAATATGTTCAAAATCATATACAGAAAAAGGACCCTTGTATATCATCTGTGTCTACCCCAGGGATTCCGGGACAGAAACAGTCCGCGTACCCGATGCTTTCATTAATTTGCGATATTAACAGGCCGACGCTATCATTTCATTTGTGAGTGACACGGTGTAACGCCGATTTGAACACTTTAGTTATATTAGGGCGTGTCAGTTTGACGTGACAGGAAAGCAGGAAGTGAAGTAAGTCTCTGACATAATTCTAACATATAGTTAAAATTGTTAATGACAGCAGTTTGACTGGCTGTGCAATCCAATATTTCTGTCTTGATGCATTTTCCGCACTACCTACGTTCGTCAATCAGCTGGAAAATTCCATTTCGAATTCTTTTTCTGAATTTGTTTTTTAGTCTGTAAAAATAGCCCCAGCATGCAACTGTGTCATTACCCACCACTGTATTTAAACTCACACTGAACATGGTACGTTCCTGTTTGTGTTTATGCATGTGTACGTGAGATTCGAAACACAGAAGATTTGTTTTCAAACAGCTTAAATGTTGAAGCGTCTTCGTCATGTAATACTGTTTATTGTTTGTATGTATATTCGTTATTGTTGTATTATGTGACAGTATATATTGTTGTGAGTTTGTGCTGATTCTCAGTGGCAGCGGATGATTGGAGCGCTGCAGTGGCCAGATGCTAACAGGAAGTGTGATTAGAGTTACCGCCCCTGGTTGTTGTACTTGACCTGTATGAGATCGACACGAGGGCGATCCGATGCCATTTACTAGATTTGCATCTTATTAACTTTGTTTAAGAACGTGCATGAGAGAAATGGGCCACCATAGTCAGACAGACTAACAGACAAACAGACATTATATTCGGTATTTAAGGCCGCATGGCCCATTGCACAGTTGACATTTTAATTTCATTTTCATTTGTTTATTCACGTGATATACATGATATTCAGAAACTGACAGAATCATCAATATGGGTAGTGAACGTATAACAGCGAGTTGTTGGAGTTGTTGGATTTTATAATACTAATGATTAACATCATTTAATGCATATTGTTAAACTTCCAAATATACTTTTCTCTAAGATGTTCATACTTATCACATACTATTAAAACATGAAATTCATCCTCAATCTCTCCTCATTAGCATTTTTTACAGATACTCATTTCAACATCTCTCTTTTTACTTCTACGTCTCAAATGTACATTAAAAATTATGTAATGGCACGCTTAATATACATGAAGCCCTAACAAGCGATTGATCATCTAACATACTTATATCCTTCTCTGGTTCTATAGCAGACTTGATATCGTTGTCATGGCTGTGGAAACGTGATGAAGATGCCAGTTTTGACTATACATATCCTGTAACCTTTGTTTAAAAGAGCATAAGAACATGTTTGTATCCGCTACGTCTTGGGGAAATCCACACAAATGAATAGATACAAGAAAATAATAAATATCTGACATTGGACAACCAACTCGTTTTGCCTTTGTCATCAAGAGCTTTCAGTAGTTTAAAACATTGGATATCTTTGCAATAAATCCTCAGTAATTTTAACCAATATTATGTCATTCGAAGTTGACTTAATATACGAATGGGATAGCGTCCTTTTTACCACAATTTCTTTATTGGAAGCATTTTTTCCAACCATAGAAAAACTTTTAAAGGACGAAGAATAGCGGAATTATATTTTGCGCCCCATGTTTCTGATCCGTCTAACTTTGGCGCAAATATACCACTAGTTAAAGAAAAGGATAAATGTATATTTTGCTTGAAAAAATTAAGATAGGTACAATTGCTTTTGATACTTTTGATGCTAGCTGTTTGCACGCAACTGGCCATGATAGTGTAGAAGATAGTGTCACGCCTAACTATGTATAATGAGTATCAATTTTAAGAGGATATTACCACATGTCCATTTTTTATTTTTTGCCCTGGTACATCCCTTTCTGAAAACCCCAATTACATCTGATTTGGACAAATTGCTTTCCAATCCCCTTCTGTCGCAAAAAGATTTGTTTGTTTGTTTGTTGTTTAGCGCCGCACTCAGCAATATTCCAGCTGTACAACGGCGGTCTGTAAATAATCGAGTCTGGACCAGACAATCCACTGATTGATATCATGAGCATCGATCCACGCAATTGAGATACGATGACATGCATCAACCAAGTCAGCGATCCTGACCACCCGATCCCGTTAATCGCCTCTACGTTGCAAAAGAATGTGTTTAGCAAGTAAAAGTAACGTTAAACTGCGTTACATAAAAATCAAAGGGTTTGGCTTTCACGTTATGAAATGCGGGCTTAAGTTGATCTTGAAAATAAGTGAAAATAATCTGGTGACAAGGAGTAACTAGATATATTACCTCGTATCGCCCTTTTTGATGTATTCCAGAAACGTTTACAGTCTCCCTATTTCAGCTGCCACCTTTATGTCAATACACAGTTTAGCATCGTATGGATTCTTCGTTTTTTATAGCACTCTTTGTACGCAGATTTCGCGTTAAGATAAAGGTCTATAATGGCATCACATTCATATATTTTTCTAAATTTGTTCACCAACCTACATGTTCTAAGAAATGTTATATTTGTGATAACACTCTCTGTAAAGTATAGATTCTCGTACTTTGGGTTGAGTCCTGTCCGGGATTTGAACCCACACTGAGACACCTTATCGCCAGCACACACGGTCAGCGATCTAACCCACTCAGCCGCCGAGGCTTCCACAAGGGGTACACAAAGTACGTGATCTAGAATACCAGTTGTCGCACTTTCATATTTTTGTGGAAGCCTCGGTGAGTGAGTGAGTGAGTGAGTGAGTGGTGGGGGGACACCAGGAATAGGCTTTAGAAACATCGTCAGGGTTTTCCATTCTCACCCTGTAAAGGGTGACAGTCTAATGCGGACAACCTTTATTCAAGACACACTACTTAATTGCAAAAGTTCTTTTGCGTTTATGTTTTCATAAACGCCAAAAGCAATATGCTACTCCCACTAGCGGATTACTGTTTCCTGATTGGCTGATACTAGAGTGGGCGTGACTTCTGTTATGACATTATTGCGCTGATTTCTAAAAGATAGGTTCATGATTAAATAAAGAGTCTGTGAAGTTATTATTGTTGACTGATTTATTCATATGAATTGACTTCTGTTGCGTTTAAGGAGGTATAAACGTTAAATCTAGTGTGCACATTTTGGCGTAAGTCATTTCTTAAAAATTGTGAAAATGGATTAGATCCAGGGGATAATTTCGAATAGAGAGTGGGGCCAGGTTGCACAAATCGACGTGAACTATGGCTGTCGTAACTACAACATTACTGCACATCAAAGTTTGGCTGACTAGTTTCGCCGTCTAAATGAGATTGTATGCGTGAAGTTCTTATATAGCTTTGGGTCATATTGTGTGTTTGTTGTTTAACGCCGCACTGAGCTGGATTCCAGTTATATGGCGGCGGTCTGTAAAAAATCCAGACTGGTCCAGACAATTCAGTGATTGTGCTTCATTTGTACCGAGCTTGATCCAGCACTATTTCAATGTCGGTCTCGTTTGGTCCACGTGAAGGTCATCTCGAGCATAACACGTCCTGTCGCCGGAATTATATAATCAACAGCTTCCGGTGCACTGATACAGCTGTTGACGAACTGGTGGGTAAACGCTGGGAGAATCTCGGGATGCTGTCCCGTCTATGGTGTAGTTTGTTATAATTGAACTCAGTGATTGTCGGTCCATGATTATTGAGTGAGTGAGTGAGTTGGGTTTAACGTCGCATTTAACAGTATTACAGTTATATCGCGGCGTGTCAGCTTAATGTGGGAGGAAAGCTCGAAGTGATGCAGGTCTCAGACATTTACCACTTCGGTGAAATCCGCGAGCCAGGAAATGGTGCTGACAAACCTAGAAACAAAATCGAAAGAAGCATGCGCCCGTATCGAACCGGGAGTCGAACCAACAATCATATGTTTCTGGCGTGCCCAAGAGACGCAACTCTGCATAGCGAATCGCTGCGCCTTAGATGACTCGGCCACCCGTGCCCCCCATGGTTATTGAAAATAGATAACAAAATAAATTTGAAACCTTACATGTAATCATCAGCATGACCAACATCCCCACCCGCATCATCAACCAGGGGTGTGAATTTGAAGATGATTTTCTCTATGTAAATATTTATAAAGAAAATGTTTGAAATTTTTACGTAACTAAATGATCATCAGATCTTCATCAGTTTATGAAACGCAACATAAATTCGCTTTTCATGTAAATTTAGTTCCCAATTCCAATGAGACGTTACAGAAAGTGAGACGTTGAGACGTTACAGAAAGTGGTGTGAACGTGTTGAGGTGAAAATCGTTAATGTACATGTAACAATATATACACTGTCGTGAACGACACGACTCTGGGTTAAGATGGCATTGAAAAGTGCTGTTGATTTCCCTGTGTATATATCATATGTTTCCTTTTAACATTATCAAATTGTTCAACTATCATATAAATGAATACTAAATCTTAAAACGATTCCGTCTTTTATTCATGAATGGTTTGACGTTGGCTATCAGACATTCGTATGTCATGCCCCTTTAACTCCACGATCACGTGAAGGGGGAGTAGACTCGGTACAGTAACAGGCCCGTGGCAAGATGATGCAAGCCATGCAACGCCCACTGTGTTTGGCTGCTAACTTAAATAGCGTTATGCATATCAATTCAGCATCCGGGTCAGAAGATGTCTTCAGCAACCCATGCCTGTCGTAAAAGGCGACTATCTTGTCATAAGAGGAGACTAACGGGATCGGGTTGTCAGGCTCGCTGACTTGGTTGGTGCATGTCATCGTATCCCAATTACGTGGATCGATGCTCATGATATCAATCACTGGATCGTCTTGTCCAGATTCGATTATTTACAGACCGCCTTCATACAGCTTGAGTATTGCAGAGTGCGGCGTTAAACAAACAAACTTATCACAACGTCCAGGACAGGTAATAGACCTGACCCGCTGAAGTTACCCCCCTACCCCCCTACCTATAAAACTTGTCTTGGGGGGCATTTTCGCCATGTGGATGGTTGAACGAGATACATATATATTAATCAATGAATTGGATGCAGCTATAGTGAAGACAGTTTTCAATGTGTAGTATTTTGAAAAAAAAGTAGAAAAATAATTAAAAAGGGGAATGTCTCTTTTCCGGTCCTGTGGTCGGTCGTGACTGGCTGGCGATCAACTGATCTGGTATGTAACAGTATAACACCTGTCTATTTTGGGAGTAGTTATGTGTTTCATCATCAATGCTGCTCAGCCCTCGCCATGTCAAATCATAACAGTAAATAAACACCTTCCATATTCATAAGAAATCACTGCCAAAAACAGTCGGTTGTACGATTCCGGCGACATCACGTGTTTATGTACCATAAATTTATGTTTTCAAAAAGGTGAGCGTATCCTGCCCCACCTGTGGACCCGTCACAAACACATGAAAAAGCATGTCAATTGTTTACCTGAAAAAAACCCAACAACACAGGAACATGTACAAATAAAAGAAATGTGGAATTTCACCAGACATCATTTTTGTCATTAATGGATCAAATTTGGAAATATCCTCCACATGTCTGCCATAAGACCTTTTAAAAGCTTTACCGAGGACTTGAATATTGTAACCTTGATCAAACAACTTCTGAGCAAGAGTCGTATGAAATCTCCGTAGAAAGAGCATGGTCGATTATACGTCAAAAGTTGTGAACTGTAGACACCCATGTCCCCGAGCACCTGTTGATGGTGGGTCCACCAGGCCAGGCAAGTCTTACATATAGGTTTGATAGGAAAGAAATATTGAAATACTAATATTTGTGACACACACACAAGCACACACACACACACACACACACACACACACACACACACACACACACACACACACACGTAGATACACATACATACGCACGCACGCAACGCATGCACGCACGCACGCACGCATGCATGCATGCATGCATACATACATACATACACACAGACATACATACATTGTGTATAAGCTACACTGTGGGGTGAAGATACAAATTATACAACAGGCCATTCAACACCAACTTAAACATGCATGTATGTCATAGCTAATCAGGATATACCTATAGTTATGCATTTTTTATATTTATAATATTATTGTTGAATATTATATATCTTTAAGTGTCATTTTAAAATAATAATATCGAAGACCTCCTCTAGGCTGAAGCCGCGCAGTGAAAGAAAAACTCGTTCAACCCATGCCAACACTCTCTTCCTAAATATTAAGTGTCATCGTCAGGTCAACAAGCATGACATATTTGTAACTATTTTTCTGTCGTTCTATGTTTAACTACACCTGCAAGACTCTGCCCCTTTAATTATCAAACACATGCCTTATGCATGCCAAGTCCATAAGACGATACGCCCTCTGCAAGTCAGGAAACTGTTACATTTCTCCTGTGTATGGAGAACAAATACTATACGTGACAGTATCCCGTTCGATAGCATTTTCTTGAAAGTTGTATCGCTTTGAGTAAATCCTAAACCCTTCACTCTTGTCTGCCTGGATACATCCGGCTAATTTAGGAACCTAGGAAGTACAGTTCAATATCAAAATAGCCGAGGTGAACCGAGGCTAGCGTAACTTCGTGATCTAACCACACTGTATGTTTAACGCTAAGCTATGCGCCGATTCTTGCACTTAACACACGTACAAGCCGTTATAAAATGCCGTCATCGCGAGGGACATCGAACAAGTGGATTCAACGTCGGAGCTAACGATTTCGGGAACGTACTAGCCCTTCCTCCAGTGGGCAGACTGCAACCTGCTAATTTCGCGAGAAATGTCTAAACGAGGGGGGAAGGCTTGCTGAGTTTTATGTGCAAATATTGAGTTACTCACTAAGGCCACTCGCTGGTGAAGGGACCGACACAGGAACGCTGGAGATCTGAGTGGGTTAGAAGAACACACAGCGTGGGACTTGACGCAAACATGGTGAGTGCCATTCCGTATGGATCTTTGCAGTTTCTTTACCTGCAAAACTCTTCAGTGGTTTAACGCAACGATTTGGGGGTTTATCCATGTATTTGTGAATCATTGATGTTTTCTTTCCGTAATCTCTCAAAGCATTACACAAGGTGGCTTAGGGTGGTTCATACGCTTCAAACTGATAATATATTTGAGGAATATGGATTTCATATTTGAATATGTGGTACCGTGACATGCGATTCAGGGTTCAATTTTTTTATTTAAGCATTGTCTTTAGAAAATGGTTGTTAGGCTGTGTTTTGAGAAAGTGTTGGTTGGGCTGGGAATAGGGAAAATGTTGGTTGGACTATGATTTGAGAAAGTGTTGGTTGATCTGTGTATTGAGTCAGATCGATGAGTCAGTAGCTTTATCTACCCTACACACTACCCTACACTAATCACTTGTAGCCGAATTTCTTGACTTTCCTTTATATGTGTTTGTGCCAAAGGTGGGGGCAGGATACGCTCACCTTTTCGGACCATCACTATTTGATGGTGATTCATAAACACATGTTCATGATACAGTCGGAATGGTATTATCGACTCTGCTTTTAGCAGATATTTCTTCTGGCTAAGTATGGAAAGGACTTTGTCGTTTTTATTATTCATTGTGCATGTTAATCGTGTAAGGGTTGTTAACTTTGTAAGTGAATAAATTCGTTTCATTGATGAAACATTGTCATGTTTAGATTTAAATAAAATAAAATTTCCAAATTCACACATTTATTCTCTTTTTAAAGATCTGCCCGACAACATCGCGTGCAACGTTCTTTGTACTCATCCCCGCCATCCTGATTGTCCTGTGCAGTGCAGAGGGTAAGACCACATACACATTGAACGCTAGTATTATTCTTATTATCAACAAGAACATCATCATCATCATCATTATTATTATCTTCTTCTTCTTCTTCTTAACATATTTTAAACTGTTTTCCAATATCAGCCATCACGCCATATCACGACCCTGTAAAGATGCGGGCAAACCAGGCAAATCAGTGATTGATAACACGAGCACCTGTTTCAGTATGTTCTTCACAAACCATGGTATTACTGTTTACGCATATAGAATCCCACTGGATCAGTACCTGATGGTATCATAAGGTACAGCCGTACACGTTCAATGGACAAATGGACACCTCAGACAACGAAAGTCTTAGTGAATTATTATTAGATCTTGCCTGAGACCCTAAAAATGAAATTAATTCGGATGGTTGACACAGTATTATTCATAGTTTTATCTTTAAATAGAATGAGGCTTCAAACGGGAATAGTTCGATTTGAATTACAGACATTACAACGCCAAGCATTCCCATCACAATCAGTCCACAAAATAATGCTCTCATCGACTGAACTCAGTGAGAGGAATCAATTGAACGTACCTCTTGGTATCGAACCGGACAAATTCAATATTGTTTTGTCAACTTGGAGGCAGATCGGTATTCTACTTGTTTAAATCGCGTACAAATATAGATCAGAGATTAAATATGTAGACGTCAGTGTTTACCAATGGGGAAAGTAGAGAACAAACGTACCTTGTGATGCACGTCAAAACTCAAGTCATGACTTGTGATCCCCATAATATTTCGACGGGTCATTAAGACTTCTTGCTCTTCGACATTTCCCTAGCGTCACTAAGACACCTTGCTACCTCGACATTTCCTTTGGGTCACTAAGAGAACTTACTCTCACGACATTTCCCTTGGGTCAATAAGACAACTTACTCTCTCGACATTTCCCTTGGGTCAATAAGACAACTTACTCTCTCGACATTTCCCTAGTGTCAGTAAGACAACTTACTCTCTCGACATTTCCCTTGGGTCAATAAGACATCTTACACTCTTGACGTTTCCCTTGGGTCAGTAAGACATCTTACACTCTTGACGTTTCCCTTTGGTCAGTACGACAACTTACTCTCTCGACATTTCCCTTGGGTCAATAAGACAACTTACTCTCTCGACATTTCCCTTGGGTCAATAAGACAACTTACTCTCTCGACATTTCCCTTGGGTCAGTAAGACAACTTACTCTCTCGACATTTCCCTTGGGTCAATAAGACAACTTACTCTCTCGACATTTCCCTTGGGTCAATAAGACAACTTACTCTCTCGACATTTCCCTAGTGTCAGTAAGACAACTTACTCTCTCGACATTTCCCTTGGGTCAATAAGACATCTTACACTCTTGACGTTTCCCTTGGGTCAGTAAGACAACTTACTCTCTCGACATTTCCCTTGGGTCAATAAGACATCTTACACTCTTGACGTTTCCCTTGGGTCAGTAAGACATCTTACACTCTTGACGTTTCCCTTTGGTCAGTACGACAACTTACTCTCTCGACATTTCCCTTGGGTCAATAAGACAACTTACTCTCTCGACATTTCCCTTGGGTCAATAAGACAACTTGCTACCTCGACATTTCCCTTGGGTCAGTAAGACAACTTACTCTCTCGACATTTCCCTTGGGTCAATAAGACAACTTACTCTCTCGACATTTCCCTTGGGTCAATAAGACACTTACTCTCTCGACATTTCCCTTGCGTCACTAAGACACCTTGCTACCTCGACATTCCCCTTGGGTCAATAAGACAACTTACTCTCTCGACATTTCCCTTGGGTCACTAAGACAACGCACTCTCTCGACATTTCCCTTGGGTCAGTAAGACAACTTACTCTCTCGACATTTCCCTTGGGTCAGTAAGACACCTTGTTACCTCGACATTTCCCTTGGGTCAGTAAGACAACTTACTCTCTTGACATTTCCCTTGGGTCAGTAAGACACTTACTCTCTCGACATTTCCCTTGCGTCACTAAGACACCTTGCTACCTCGACATTCCCCTTGGGTCAATAAGACAACTTACTCTCTCGACATTTCCCTTGGGTCACTAAGACAACGTACTCTCTCGACATTTCCCTTGGGTCAGTAAGACAACTTACTCTCTCGACATTTCCCTAGGGTCACTAAGACAACTTACTCTCTCGACATGTCCCTAGGGTCAGTAAGACAACTTACTCTCTCGACATTTCCCTTGGGTCACTAAGACAACTTACTCTCTTGACATTCCCCCTGTTTCCATTTAATAACTTATCAAACTCAAAACGAACTGGGATTCAAACCCACAACCACGGCCGAGTGACTGGTAGATCAACTGGAGCACCCAAGACCACTGTATACCACATGTCCACTCTTCACGTTAGAGTAGATGATCGTCTGGGATATATCTTATCATAACGTCCCAGATAGATGCAGAAACCACGCATTATCGGAGAGCTCAGACACATTTCTGGAATATGATAAAGTACATTTACCGTGAGAATAGTTATGTACTCAGTGTGCCGGTGTATATAGGACAGTTTATCAAGTACTCAGTGTGATGGTATATATAGGACTAATGAACCTTCCACTAGACTTCAGGATAATGAGATCTTCATCAGATGCTGATGAGATGATCAGATGATCAGGAAAGATGCTGGCATTGTCGCGTTATTATTTTTTGAATATTGGTATATGACCTTTATGTCATTATCTAATCATGCTAGGTAACGTGCCTATACACACTCGTAGATGCCCTTTATAATCACAATCAATTTTAAATCATTACATTGAAATACGTATTCCGAGGAACATGACTTGTTTTTTCTATTCCCGCATGGATTGTCGTTATCTTGAAGGCAGTGGATCAAAGGGCGGAGTTCTCTTTAGACTCCTTGTTGTCTTATATAGACGCCCTAATCGAAAGAGCTGAGACAAGCAGAGATCAAACAGTTGATAGGAAGGTGTAGGTCATATGAATGCTTCGATATAAGTAATACTTTGAGATAATGCTATGGGATGCTGACACACAATCAGTCACGATTCAGACATCTCTATCAAGAATTAAGCAGTACATACTGGCACCTGTTCTGCTCCGGAACTGTTTAAGAAATAAGGTGTAGTTTTAGAAATAAGAGTGAGTGAGTGTGGTTTTTAAGACATAAGGTGTAGTTTGTTAAAGTTAAAGCCGATTGTAGCAATATTCCAGCAATATCACGGCGGGGGACACCAAAGAGTATTTTGTCAAAGAACACACTTACCAAGACTGTTCCCCAGCTACTGTGGTCTGTGAAACGATTGTGATTTATTTATTTTCGATGGCATTTCGAAAACTAAGAATTGTAGGTACTGGCGTTAGACCATTCCGAGCATTTCCTGTGTGTAGTTTTATGGTAGACATTGTGGAGGACATTTCCAAAGTTGACAAAAATTATGTCCGATGCAATTCCTTATTTTGACTTGTACCATATGTTCTTTGAGGTGAACAACTGACTTGCCTTTGCAAGTGTTTGTGACAGGTGCCAAGATAAGCTCATGAGCATATGGTATCAGCACTTGTTGAGAGTGATTCATAAACACATGCCCTTGATACACTCGGTATCGTATAGTTGACCCTGCTTTTAGCAGAGATTTATTTGACTATGGAAAGGGTTTTGGCGCTTATATTTACGTTCTTCTTTTCTTGGGGCGGTCGGGTAGCCTAGTGGTTAAAGCGTTTCCTCGTCACGCCGAAGACCCGGGTTCGATTCCCGACATGGGTACAACGTGTGAAGCCCATTTTTGGTGTCCCTCGCCGTGATATTGCTGGAATATTGCTAAAAGCGGCGTAAAACCATACTCAGTCAGTCAGTCAGTCTTCTTTTCTTGATTAACGCCGCACTCGGTAATAAAACATCTATAGGAACTAAGGTCCCGTAGGGACATACATGGGGCCAATGTCAGGCAGTGTATTATGACAGTAAACAGATCAATGCCTGTTCGACTTAGACGAAATTCGCGGTCCGTATTACGCAGAAGGTCGTATACATGGGTTTGGTTTTCCATCACATGTCCTTCATTTCCTTTAACACGACTCTACCATAACGCTACCTCGTCGTGAGAATGAAACGAAATCGATTCACCTGCCGGCATGGCGAGCGTTCTACCCCTGAACATCAATACGTCATTACGTACCGGAAGTGGCCTTATGTTGAAACATGTCTCAATGCTTTAAGTGTTGCTTCTCCATCACCGGTCTGCTTGATCTCGCACCCAACTCCCCCGTGCTGTATGTCACAACCGCATCACGAGATATCAGTCCCTTGTGATCACGTGATCATACTGTCACATGCCACATCTTGGACTCATATGTGACCCAATCGTGTAATTCCGGTGAGAGTCGCTGTGCCCGCTTGAAGGCATCTGTTGTGTAGATAATGTTAGAGAGAGCCCATGTGCAGTGGTGAGGTGACGTTCAATGAGCGATCTGTGTGCTATTGCGAATAGTGTTTCCAGTTCAGATGTAAGGACATGTTGAGTCACACATACATTCATAAACTTTAACTCTGTAACTTTATGACTCAGTGACAAATATTAGTCACGGAGCAATAAGTGTAACGTGAGTCACTCACTGTTATTCAGACAAACATGACTGGATAACAAGATGACATTATTCAGATTTGTCAGTGTAAAATTAATCATCAGAATTATTTTTGTAATTACATTTTTATTGTTCCTAAAGTTGTAGAGTAATACAGAATTCCATCAAAACATTTTTCGGATTGCATAGAATGACACAATACACTCTATAATATTTAATCACTTCGGGTTTTCCTCCCACATTTAGCTGACACGCCGCGATATAACTGGAATACTGTTAAAAGCGGCGTTAAACCCAACTCACTCAGTCACTATAAAATGTTAAAGTTTCAAACTAAAACGGTTGCAACACACAATCAGACTCAAACATAGCATATGTATCAACTGAGAGTTAAGAATCAAATGCTGAGGATAAAAGTGACCATT